TCAATAATAATCCTCTTACCGGACATTCAATCGTTCATGCCAGACTTGAGGCGCCAATACGGAGGCAGGCGTAGACTGGGACGACACCAATGACCGGAAGTCTAATATCATTCCATGCAGCCAACACACAAACGTGTAACCTTCTATTCACTTCCGCTGGATACGTAGCTCAGCTGAAGCAACAGCAATAGTTTTGTCCTGTTGGGCTTGAACAAATCATGYCTCAGAAACATACGTGATCTTTTCACTAAAATAACGTGCAAAGGAGAAGTCAAACGTCGGACAGTTTTTAAAAGCCTTTTACTAATTCCCTTTTGGAAATACGTTTGGACGTATTCCAATTTGCTTGGAGTTCTTCAAGTTTCGAGYTTAAAATTAAGGTAACACGATGGTTTATTGTTTTTTATTTATAATTTTGTCTCATAATATGTTTTTAAAGATATTCTTTAAAATTTCTGCACCAAATTATAAAAAAATGGCCAACAGAAGTWCTCCATACGTTGTTTCGTGCCTACTAAGCTCAAGGTCTATGAATGAGATTTCCATTGGAAAATCACCAAAAATAATTTATAATTTAAAATTAGGTTGAAGACTAGCTGATTTATGAATCTTTTATAGCATTTTATAATTATCCGGCAGTATATTWAAAAAAATTAAATTCGTGTCTTTAAATATTAAAATTTGATAAATGGTTAATGTTTGTGATCGTCCGAATGAAACTTCATAACCCATGCTGTCTAGAACAACAAACACTATATCAGTTTTTACAACCGAAAGTGCTGCATAAATTCCCTCATTATAAATGCATATTTGAAGAGTATTTCTGTTGCTTAGAGCTCTGCTAGTTTACTTAGAATTTAGCGCAATTTATCTCTATGATATGTCAATAATACTTCGATTATTCCGGTTTATTTTGGGTGAGCCAAAAATGGTTCCTCGGTGAACGAGACGTTGAACTTTGACTACCTGCCAACATTATGCTGTATATCTTGGCCTAATCTCACAAGCAAACAAAAGTGTCAGCTTTCTTTGTTACTGGCTGACTTTCGATAAAACTTTTAAGATTTTTGTCAAGTTCTAGTTTAAATTTTTRATGACAAGCAAGGCTTGAATTGATCGCAACCAATGAGAAGTCGTCACGTCTGTGCAAAGTTCATCGAGCTCTTATTTTCAAAACATTAGTGGCCGCCATGTTTGATGCCTTCCTTTCTTTCACTTTCCAAAATTAACAACTTTGCTTTTTATTTTGTCACGATTTAAAAAATGGAGGAGAAAACCAAAAAATTAAAACGGAAAGTAAACAAATCGTCTTCAAGTGGTTCTGTCAACTTTTATTTAAAAATCACTTATTCTTTTACGACTTCATTTCTTCTTTTTCGGTCGTTTCCCAGTTTTGATTTTGGTTTCTTTTTCGAACAAAAGATACTAAATTCTAGATACTAAATTCTAGAGATCAATGTGTGGACGGCTGGAAAATACTCGCGGGAAATTCCAATAATAGGATATGAAACGACTTTGTTACACATGCAAAGGGTCACTTATCTATCGTGATAAACACGATACATAGCACATACCAGTGGACACACAGCATACCAATGTAATAGCCAAGAACATTCTAGAAAAAGTGGCATTAAATTCTCAAGATTCCACTCTCTTGTTTACCGGTACCGGTATGCTGCATGGCGACCACTTCCTCGTCAAAAGTCAAATAGATATCGTGTCCCCTCCCCCCTAAGACCAAAGGAAGGACATAGGAAAACAAAGCGCACAAWAAATATTTTACTACATTTTAGCTTGATTGATCAATTCTCTTGTTATGGAGGATGCCATACAAAACAATCCAATAAAAGCGATTTTCTTCCGGATTATATTTCCAACTTTAACTGTTATCTAAATTGGGTTCCSTGTGTCTAAACGACCGCCGAAACCTGTGTGAACAAAGAATGCGAAACAGATCATTGAAGCATCTAAAAGAGTCATTGTGGTGCAAAATAGGTCGACTGCCACATAAGAAAGAAATTTCAAAACTTTTGTTATCAGAAGCCATTGATTTTTGAATGTAAGAATAATCAAAACWAAAATAAAATGCGGAAACGTGTGGTGACTATTTCGCCATTTCCTTCATCAGGCAGATTAAGATTCCCGTTTTTCCTTCCCACAAACGGCAAACGTGACCACGTTTTCATCGTTTCCCTACATTTCACCTTCCCTTTTGCAAACCTTCTCGACAAAGACGAGTAATTTTTTGTTTATCTTCCATTTGGAGATTTTTGCGATTCCTTTTCACTAATTTTAAAGAATTTTTTAATGGTCAACTGACGTTTCACGTTTGCCGTAAACAAGAGTCTTAAACTCTCTACTGATGCCTTTTCCCCCGCCTGATATCAATCACGCTTCGGAGCTAGTTCTTTTATTTCATTATCTCTCTTAATTGTGTTTTTTTTTTGTGAATTCCGGGTATGAAAAATAATGCCTTGCCTCTGTGAAGAGAGAGATCGCGATTCAAAAAGGACGGGGGAAAGGGCTATTTATAACTGGACTCTGCAAACTTAAAGAAGACTAGTTTTATAGCAACAACTTATTCTCGACTTTCGCATCCCAATAATTTTTTGGAGGGTAACCAATCAAAAAACTGTCCCAAATTGAAAGGTTTCTTAATTGAATTTATAATATACCTGCTTTTATCTGTACAATACTGATTATCAGTTTATTCCAAGTTATTTTTGCGTTTACGGATCATGAAGAGTTTTGGTCTTACAGAAAATGTATTGACTTACGAAAAAATTTTTAAAATTGACCTTAAACGTCTTCAAGCTTCCATCTTTTTTTGTCTTTTACTTCTTCATTTTATTTTTGGATACCAAACAAGGTATTTTCAACATTGTCTGATCAGCCTTCAGCAAAATAAGTGGGTTTTTACCCTTTGATTACCCCCCAAAGACGCAAAGGATTATAGGGATGTAACCTAATTTTTGGGAGAGTGATTCTAGTCTCTGTTTGTCAAGAAGCCCTTTTTCTGTCACTTTCATAATTCAGTCAAATATTTTTTTGTTGAGTTCATTCCCCCCTGATTCTCAAGTTTTTCATAAATATAAAGCTGAACAACTTCAAAGATTGCTAGATTAATTTTGTAATCATATTCCCTCTTTACAGGTTATCTAGATTAAGAAAATGCCTAACAAGTTCCAAAAGGAGTGTTTGAACGCCCACAATGCCTATCGCGCCCAGCACGGTGCGCCTGCACTCAAGTGGTCAGCTAAACTAGCATCGGATTGYGAGAAATGGGCGAGAGATCTTGCAAAACGAAACGCGTTACAGCACAGTACAGGAGATTATGGGGAAAATCTAGCAATGGCATCAGGTACGATTGGATGAGTAATTGATGGTTCTGACTCAGATAATAGCGAACTAATCAACGTTGCTGCAGCTTTTTCCCAGTGGAGTTAAAGTCTTGTCCCACAAACAACTAAACAGTATCTGTTTTAAAGAGTACTACAAGGATTACGAGGCAATTTTCTATTCTTTTCGCAGGACAGTAAACTATTGAAACAATTTATTCAATCCATTGAATCAATTTTTGGACGATCAGACAGGTTTTATCTTGAGATATTCTTGCTAATTCGCTGAACTTGTGGGACATGCATAGCAACGGTAACTAAGCGGGGGATTCGCGGTTTTAGACCTATGAATATCACTTAACCAAACCATACTGAGAAATACTGAGAATGWTCACCACTCTTGATTACCTTCCATAGGTTACGACTTGTCGGGCAATCGCTCTGCTGAAATGTGGTATGAAGAAATCAACAAATATAGATTCAACAACCCAGGATTCTCATCCGGTACCGGGCATTTTACACAACTCGTATGGGCCGGGTCGCGAGAGTTAGGAGTCGCTAAAGCCGCGAGTTCATCAGGAGCCCAGTATGTTGTGGCTCGGTATCTTCCCGCAGGTAACGTCATTGGAGCCTTCCCAGCCAATGTAAAACCAAGGGGATCAAAGGTCGACAAGGCCGCTAAGGCTGGTGGGAAGGATGCGGCACGTGTCACGTCAAAGACATCYGATAAACCACGTGAGTAGTGACGACATAGCAATTTTATTCCTCAGTAAAAGAAATAAGGGAAATTAGAATAGGTCTCTTGCATTATAGCGTCCTTTACTGYCACTACCAGAATCYCTTGCGAGGTTAATTTAACACCAATTTTGTCTTACTATCCTCATGAGGAAATACAAATCAGAATAAGCAAGAAAGTTCGCGAAGCATTATGGTAGTGGTAGTAAAATGACCCCATCATGCAAACGGCCAATTCATAAGAGACTAGTTTTCACTACTATAATTGCTTAACACATTTTTCTATTATTTGACAGAAAGCTCCCGTGAGTTCAAGAACGATATACTTCAAGCTCACAATCAATACCGAGCTCTTCACGGCGCTAAACCYCTGAAATGGAACTCAAAGCTGGCCTCAGAAGCTCAGAGCTGGGCAGAAAATTTGGCCAAACGAAACTGCATTCAACACAGCAGCTCGAGGGATTATGGAGAAAGCATTGCTTACATGAGTGGTAAGATTATAATATGTATGTAAAACTACGTCTTATCTTGTGAAAATAAAATGGTAGCGCCCTAGAGACCATGAACTGGTAGGACTCTGTCCTTCATGGTSTCTTGTAGCGCCTTATTGCTCACATCTTCCTGAACTGTCATCTTTATTACATTTGCTATTAAAGTCTGGTTTTCACTGGCGACGAAAGCATAAACACAAGCACAAGGCAAGAAATTATTTTGACTCTTGCGCTTGCGCATGCGTTCGTGCTTGTGCTTGTATGAGTTTGTTTCACTRTGAAATAARAACTCTYTGTTCTTCCSTTTATGCCGGYTTGCGTCGCTAKTGAAAATCAGGCTTAACTCTAGACAAATACTTATCTATTGCCTTATTACTTATCTGTTACCTCGTGAATTATCTGTTTTTCTTACGAGGCTGCTACCACAGGTAGTCCAGTAACAGTTTGCTTATATAAAATTCTTCAGGTGCAGAGCTTACAGGACATAAGGCAACAGACATGTGGTACGAAGAAGCAGACAAATACCGGCAKGCCAACCCGGGATTCTCTTCGGGTACCGGGCATTTTACACAAGTAGTGTGGGCAAGTACAACGGAAATGGGTGCCGGGAGAGCTACCAGTTCTACTGGAGCACATTACGTTGTGGTTCATTATACTCCCCCGGGTAATGTAATGGGYCAGTTTCCTGAGAATGTTAAACCAAGAGGATCTGGAAACCCTGGTGGAGGTAGGTTATCAGACTATCGGGTGACGGGGGATGGGATGGGAAGGGGGAGGGGGGGGGTGTGAAATCACATACTTAAAAAAATTGTTCATAAGGCACCCTTGGGGCGTCAAAATTACCAGGTAACGTTGCTATCAATCCAGCTATTTTCCATTTGCCTCTTAGACTCCTCCGTTCCCAAACCAGCATCCTTTAACTGCAGGAGCAGGAACATTAGGACGATCTGTAAGCCGTTAAAATCAGAGGAAAGGGGTGAAATTTAGGAAATGACAGGGTGCTCTTTTGAATGGAAAAATGCCTTTTTTTAAGTGAAAAAATCTATTCTGACTTTTGGTTAAACTGAATACCTGCAGCTTTGTACAAACCTGTTTCAAATTATTTCAGATTCGAGGCTAACAGAAAAATGCAATGCAACGTACTAATTGAAAAAATACACTTTATCTCAGTGGAGTTTGTGCGATTTCTTTTGCATTTTCCTATCAGTCTTGCCAGTGAATTTTCGATTACCTGTTTATTTTTATTCATTTTTTATTTTGCTTTTTTATTTTCAGGTGGGAAAAGCTGTTGTGTCATACTCTAAGACTATGCAAGAATATTAATACGATAGGTCGAGGTTGAGTTTAAGGGACCGTTTATTTTTACGTGCATGGGGGGCTGGTGGGATTAGGAGGGCCACGCAGTAAAAATATATGGCATTTAAAGGTGGGCCACCCCAAAAATAATTAGGTAAATAGAAGACTTATAAAATAAATTTTTCCTGTTTTAAAAGGGGGCCACGCAAAAAAATTTCAGGTCATATATTTTTTTGAACTTACAATTCACAGAATCCCACCAGGTCCCCCAAACTTCCGTAAGAAATTAACGGTCCCTAATTCTCCCATGCAGTCTTTACCTCATTTCAACTAATCTTTTCTATTGCTATGTTTGTACCATTGTATCTTGCTAGCTAAGGTCGAGGTCCATCTTCATAGAATCCCTTTTTTTGTCTAATACAATTTTCTTTTTATCCTTCCATTTTTTATTGCAAAGTGGGGTGGCTAACAACCCTATAGTACCCTTCACAGTTCCCTGCGCCATCTTGAAAGGTAGCCGAGCCTCGAAGCGAGACGAACGGTGAGCTTGCAATGATAGAGACCGTGAAGGGGTCTATTCCCCCCCCCCCTTCCTGGAATCAACGTTAACTTCAACAGGTTGTCAAAGATAAAAATAAAAATAAAGCCATATTATTCTTGGGGTGCACCCACATGACTTTTAAAAAATCCTTTGAGATATAAACTTTAACAATGAAACAGCAGCGATGCTGGTTGATCACACAAGAGAAGGTAATGCTTTGTTATCGTTAACCAACATCGCGTCTGTATTATGCACCCCAAAAATATCGAAAAAGATAGATAAACTCATTTATTATTTTCTATTTCATCTAAGATATTTTCGGTCCATGAGAAGTTTGACTTTTGACCAACTCACAGTATTCTGTTGACTGTAAACCATTGTTGATTCAGTTCAAACTGAATCAAAAACAATAACAGATAGTATATAATATAATAATAAAAAATAAGATATGAACATCAATTATTAATATTTGTCTTTAAAATGATCCGGCCTGTGCATATGCAGCTTTGGAGTCTTGTATTTAGGAAGTGGGTATTATCTCTGACTGTAGTGCTATACACCCTGCATGACGTTCCGTACATTAGTTTCTAAGCATTTTACTGCGGTTTTCGATATTCTGCGAAAGTCGGTAGCCAACAACCTAAATGCTGAAATTTGATTTTTCGCTGCCGTCAATTAGAATTAGTCAGTCGGTACCTTTTATGTTTTTCTTTGGCGGCAGTAAAAAACCAATTTCACGAGAGAAGCCGATGAAATGTCCGAGTTCCCAGAATATCGAAAACCGCAGAAATGTGTTGAATGATCCTTTGAATTCAACGATCAGTGGGGATGTGAGACAGCGGAATAGGTCCGGGGTAAGTGGGAGAGGGTTCGGCGGGATGGACAAAGAAAGCGTATCTCATGTATTCTTAAAATCCGCCTGCGCGGTGTGTGATCTTGGATTGGCCCTTTTTCTGTCGTTTTCAAAAAACTCTAGTTGATTTAGAAGACTAAATGAAACGTCTACGTAACTGCCCTTTCATAGTCCCAAGCACTACCTTGAAAGGTAGCCGTGCCTTTGCATCGAAGCGAGACGAACTATGAGCTTGCAATGATAGTAATTTATTTAGAACGCTCTTCGTAACATACACGTAACCCTTTCGTACTCATCTCTAGCTATCTAGATTCTCTCATGCTGCCTATTGTTCAGTCTTTACCCACTTATATTAAGGATACTAATCACGCTCTTAGTATTTTTAATGATTTTCGCTTTCCTGATAACTCTTCTAAGTTTTTGTTTACTATGGATGTCAAATCTTTGTATACTGTTATTCCTAATGATGAGGGCCTTCGTGCTCTTCAGCATTTTTTCGATCTTCGTCCTGTCCTCGAGCCCAGCACTCCCACTTTGTTACGCTTAGCTAAACTTGTTCTTACTTAATTGTTTTTCTTTCGGTGATCGTTATTATCGGCAGGTAAACGGTGTTGCTATGGGTACTAAGATGGGCCCTAGTTATGCCAACTGG